GGAAGAAGCACACCAACTGGGGCGATCAGGAGGTGTGATTGAGACTGGGCAGTGGTCATCACAAGATTCACAACAAACAGTAAACAAACAAAAATGCATTGGTGAGACTGGACCCAAAGCTCATCTATGGACAATGGGACATCCCCCACAGAGCAGTTGCAGGGAGGGGATGAGTCATTCAGGGTGCAGTAGAGCACTAATGGGTCACACAATATACCTCTGATCCCTGGAGGCCTTCTCACCACCACCACCCCCCACCCCACCCCCCACTATCACAACCTCAGTGCTGCTTCCCAATCGAGACTAGACAGGAGCATGTACATAGGTACAAACAAGAGATGAAGCTCACCACACATGGACCTCTGGAAGAGGAATGGGAACAGAGACACCAAAAGGGTGGGGAGGGGGGGAGGGAGTGAAAGACACATAACCGCACCCCCCCTCCAGGGGAAGAACAACAGAAACCAGAGGGGAAGGCAGACAGTGGTCGGTGTGAGATTTGAAAATAATGAACCAAGGGGCCATGAGGGTTGGGGTGGGGGTGGGGGAGCTGATCCCAAGGGCTCAATGGAAAGTAAGTGTCTAGAAAAGAATGGTGGAATATATGTATGATTATGTCGGACACAACTGATGTATGGTTTGTAATAAGGGTTATAAGAGCCCCCAATAAAATTATTTAAGAATAAACAGTAAGCCCTCACCGTGCTGTCTCCTCATGAGGTGCTTCCCACCCACTCACTTTTCACTCCAGGAGGATACTGTCCTCTAGTGTGGGGGAGCGGGTGTCCTGAGTGCACAGCTGGGAGACCGTGTACGCATGGGATGCTTTCCTGGTTGCTCATCTTCCCTCATCCTGTGTCTTAGAGATGCTGAATAACACACCTGTGATTTCCAAAGCATTGGTCCTTTGTGGTTTGGTATGGTTTGGTTGTAGTAAATTCACACACCCCAAAACTCCCCAACACACCTCTTAGGTTTCAGGGACATCAGTGACTTCACTCATGTACCACCAGTCTTACTCGCTCTTCCAAATCATCGTATGAACATGAACTTCCTGACCCTAACAAAACTTCTTTCCTCTGTCCTCCCACCAGAAAAAAAACCCAAATAAACAAAAACCAGTCGCTGCCATGGAGTGGATGCCGACTCATAAAACAGGGTAGAACTGTTCCTGTGAGTTTCCTAGACTGTAACTGGTTGTGGGAGTAGAAAGCCTCATCTGTCTCCTTGGAGCGACTGGTGGCTGCTGACCTTGTGGCTAGCAGCCCAGTGTGGAATCACCTTGTCTTCAGGGCTCTAGCCCTTCCCACCCCAAATAACCAAAATCACCTTTGATTTCTGTCCATTTATTTATTTCATAGGCAGGAGATCATACAATATTTGCCCTTTTGTGACTCAATATTTGCCCAGCATGTTTTTAAGGCTCCTGTGTTTGATGGCACATGCATCGAACATCACCGCTTCCTTCATAACTGAGTAACCCACCAGTACCTGTTCACACTGCACTGCCACAGCATTGTTGTGTTGGTGGACACTTGCGTACTGTGGGTGGCATTCCTGCCCATGTTTCCTTTGGGAGAGCTAGCTAGGGTTAGGATGGCAGGCCCCAGGGTTGCTCTGTGTCAGGTTATCGAGGAGCCACCAAATGGTCCCTCACAGCTCCCCACATATATTCTCCCCAGCAGTACAAGAGGTCTCCAGTTTCCCCTCAGCCTCAGTGATGCCTGGGGCTGGCCATTTTGGGATCATTGCTATTGCATTGGAGGTGAGGTGATAGATATCTCGTGTAGTTCTGATTATTGAATATCTCTCCATGCACTTGTTGACTACTTCAGTGCACTGTCTGCAGGGCATCTGCTTTGATAAATGTGGGCGGTTTGCCTCGTTCTCGCAGAACCCGGTCGCCTGTCACTGTTAAGTGCTGTCAGTGGGAGACCCTAAGCCTTTGGCGTGTTCTTCCGTGCTCACAACCGTTAGCCAGGATTCGCCTGTGGTTCTTGAGGGGAGAGGTGGATGGTGTGCCCATGCTGCACCAGTGCTTGTTTCATCCATGCACCCAACTTTCCTGTGCTTTCGGAGGCGTGTGTGGGCCCTGGGGGTGTCTGGTGGCGGCTCAGGGATGGTTTCTGGAAGAAAGAACCAGGGAAACTCAACTTGGAGCAGGAGGTAGAGTTACTCTACAAGTAGAACGCCGTTTCAGGGAGAGGAGTTGGTTGGAGGCTCAGAAGTAAGGTGACAGGGTCCTTGCGAGACTCAGTGGGCCCCTAGAAAGGCCCTGAGAAGTGAGGAAGTATGTGGACTGAGGAAGAAGCTCCGGAGAACGGGGTGGGGGTGGTATGATATGCAACTTGGAATGAGCCCCTATCTACCATCACCACCACCCATTTTCCTGTGAAGCCTTCCAGACTCGCTGGTTCTAGGCATCTGTTCTCCCCAGGGGCAGGAGGGGAATGCTTGATGGGCTAGTCCTCCTCTAGACTTGTAGCTTTGAAATCCCACTTCTGTCACTACAAGGGAGGAGTTTTTACAGAAATGAAAATAGTTCATTTCCCACACTTTTGAAGCCTCCTGTATTTCCCATCCTGCTCCTGATTGTATTAGTAAGTGGTGTTGGACCTCCTGGGCAGACTGGTGTTGTTTCTTCCTCCCACGGATTCGCCCAGTCACCAGACCTGGCACAGGCTTGGGCTCACCTCATATGTCATAGGCATTTCTGTGTGGTGAACAGAGTGGCTTTAGGGCTGTTAGCTCCCTTCCTGGGGACACAGGGGAGGACAGCCTGTGTCGGGCCCAGGCCAGAGTCCCTCGGGTGTCTCAGCCCTGTGCCTCAGGCAGTGCCTTTTTGAAGGAAGCCTCACAGCATTGCAGTCACTTTCTACCAGAACAAAGGCACCAAGAAATGCTGAGTGGCTAACCGGGCAGTTGATCTGAAATCTCCCGTGACGTGCCCGGACTGCAGAGTGTGGCTTTTGTTCTTGCCTTTCTTCCTTTGGAACAGGTGCCCACCAGTCCTCGACCCACGCCCTGGTCACAGCTCATCTCTCCCATGTTGGGGCAGCACTCTTTCTGCCTGGCTCCCATGCTGCCTTGGACTCTGCCCTTATGGAAGTCTCAGCTCCTCCCAGGAGCTGGTTGGCCATTCACCCCACTTGGCACCTGATGGTTCTGCAGGCTTTTCCTTTAATTGGTCTCCTCTGACTGGCCTGCCAGCCTGCCCTGCATCATGCTAGTCTGCTGACCTCTCCCACCCCCATTTGCCCTTCCATCCAACAGGCTCCTGCCACCTGCCCAGAACAGCCTTCTTCTGCCCACCCCAAACCCCTCCTCTCCTCACCATTGTCCCCTGGGCCTGCAGACTGCCTTCAAGCCTCAGGAGTCTTCCCCTCTTCAGCCTCCTCACTTCCCTGCTGTTCTCTCCCCTCTGGAGTGCCAGTCCCTTTGTTCACACTTCTTCCAGGTGCCTAGGAAGTCCCCACCCTGCTCTCCTACTGGCATGCATACTGGCTAAAGGGAGGAGAGAGGGCAGCCCAGGCTTTGATTTATGGAGCAGGAAGCTGACAAAGCTCATACTGTAAACGCTTTTAATTGTAGAGTCTTGTTGGGGCCCGAGTCTCTGGGGCCTGTCTCCTCTTTCCCCATTGTGGGCCTCCCTAACCCCATAGTGCCTGCCACCCATCCTTCCTGCCTTTGTTCCTGCTGTACACAAAAACGGCAGAGGAAGGTTGACAAGATAATCAGATTGGGCTTATTAACCTAGATATCTTCCCAGTGTGTTCATTTGACGGCACAGTCTGGTTTTTTTTGTTTTGTTTTTAATGTTTTATTGTGAGTTAGGTAGGGATTTATAAGACTGATCATCATTTTCACATTCAGGAACTTAAAACAACTTCTCAGACTTGCTAGTGGCTTGCCTCCCCCCTCCTCTTTTTCCCACCTCTCTCCTGTAGGATACTGTGTTCTCTGCACCTGAGTTAGTTAATTGTGCCAACCTGGCCGATAATCACATGTGGGGCTAATTGAAAGGCAGAGGGATAAATGGGTGGTGAGCCTCGCCTTTCTAGTTCTCAGGTCTCTTGCTTTGTGATGGTCGCACCAGGGTGCAGCTGCCTTAGCAGTTCCCTGCTTCAGCTTGCAAGATTGACTTCCTACAAGACATCCCCAAGGAGAAGCCACATGGACCTATCCCGATGCAGCCCTGGGTGCTGGAGCAGCCGTGTGGAGACCCCTGCTAGTGCTGAGCTACTTATTTGTTCACTGATTCAGCTTTCCTCCTGCAGTCGGCATCATTGCCTCTGTTTTGTGAGGTGGAGGACTTTGTGGACTGGTGTTGGGTTAATGGGTTAATGGGTTAATGTTGGACTTGTGGGCTTGGGCAGCATTGGGTTGGGATGTTTTCTTGATGTGCCCTTACCCTCTTTACATAAAACTCTCTTATACATGAGTTGCTGTGGATTTGTTTCTCTAAAGTACCTAGATTAATACAGCACCCAAGTTAACACCTTCCTACCCTCCAGTCTGTGGCTTGCCCTTCTTCCCCCACCCCTACTAACCATCAAAGCCTGTTTCTTTGAGTATTATGGAAACTTTCATCTTGATGGTTATTTTCAATAACAGTGGTCTCACATAATATTTGTCCTTTGGGGATTGACTAACTTCACTCATTATAATGCCGCCAGATCCATTCACGTCATGTGCTGGTCCACAGTTTCATCATGATTCTTGAGTGCTGTGCAGTACTCCATGGTGTTTGTGCCAGATAGTCTGTCAGCCTGCTATTGTGAGTAGTGTTGTGCTGATCATGGGTGTACGTCTGTCTGTGTGTGCCATGTTCTTCATTACTGGAGGGTGTATTCCAAGTCCAGGGATCGCCGTGTCATCCTATGGTATTCCTTTTCCCATTTGAGGAAGTGCAGGGCCACTGTCCACAGTATGGCACAGTTTTTAATGAGTGTAGCACTGTCTCCTGGACATGTTCCTCATTGGAGTCTCCTATTTGCCAGGTTACCTGTCCTGCTGCCGCTTCTTAGATGACAATCAGATCGTCACCAGCTCTGGAGACACCACCTGGTAAGTAGCTAACTGACCTGCACACGCGCTGCCCCGTCCTGGCTGGCTGTGCAGGCTCATGAGAAGAGCCTGAGGGAAATGTGTGAGAGCTGACTAGCTGTAACCACAAGGGACCAGAGACTGAACACAAAGGCGAGGGAAGGAGGGAGGAGAGCTTCATGGCACTATGTGTGGGTCACGCAGCCTAGACTTCGTGTTTCCCCCTATTCACACTTTGTCATCACGCCTCTGGTCACACAGGATTGTAGATGTCACATGTGCTAGAATACCACGCATAAGGATTTCAGGTGTCGTTGTTTCTAGAATGTCTGCACTTCACTGATAATGAGGTGGCCCACTGAAATGAGCCCGGAACGTTGTTCTTGCATGATGCACCAGGGCTCTCCGTTTGGAGGCCCAAGTGGTGATTTGTGAGGCTCCTTTCAGGTTTTCAGGTGCCTGCTGTCCTGGTGGGGGTTTGTGGGGGATGTCTTTGTTGGCAAGGAACTGTGGGGGCTGGGCTCCAGGCAGTGCCCTGACAGCAGGGGGCAGGCTTTCGGCTCTGGTTCCCTTTTGTCCTATTTGTCAGCAAGATGGTTCATTGTATTATTAAAGTGTCCTTTTTCTGTAAATTTCATGGGTTACAAAAGATTGAGAATATAGATTGTCAATCTTGGGTGAGATTTCTTTATTAGAAGATATTTTCAAAACTGTGGATATATGAATAACTTCTTCAGAGTTGGGAAATAACTGGCTTTCTGTGGTCCCTCAGCCTAGGGCCCTGTGGAGGAGCCCCTACAAATTGAGGTGACACAAGGTTCAGGGCTGCACGCTGGCACGGGGCAAACCGAGTCCCCATAGGGCAATGGTATCATGAAATTGTAAACTGCACGTGGGCTGTGCTCCTCCAAGTCACTCCTGCTCTGAGCTCGTCCATTTCCATCCCTCCTTTCTGCCCAGGCCTTGGGGGCTGGGGGTGGGTAGAGCAGTGCTTTCAGCTAGCAGCCACAAAGGGGTCTCAGCAGGTGCGGACTGCAGGTGGTCAGAGCACTCTTGGCCTGTCTCCTGCACCTCTTTCTGAGGGAAAGGGTGGGCGCAGGGAGCAAAGTCCCCTCTTCCGGGCCTGAGTTAGTTGGCTTCCTGCCTCTCTCCCAGAACCATCTTCAGGGGCACTGACTGACCCCCCCTTAGGGAGCGAGACCACAGTGACCGCTGTGACTTCTGAGCTGCGGTTGTGTGCTCGTGTGTATTCACTGGTTTCTGCTTTTGTTTCCCCCCACACAACCTCTTACTGCACACTGGTGTGGGAGTAGAAACTCCGAGGATTGGCGGGTTGGTTCTCTGATTTGGAAGTTGAGTTTGTCCCTGGAGCAGTTGTTTCACAGGTGAGTCTGACGCCCTGTCCTCTGCCCCTGCCCAGTGCGCTGTGGGATATAGAGACTGGCCAGCAGACGACCACGTTCACAGGACACACCGGGGACGTCATGAGCCTGTCCCTGGCTCCAGACACCAGATTGTTTGTTTCTGGTGCTTGTGACGCTTCGGCCAAGCTCTGGGACGTGCGAGAAGGGATGTGTCGGCAGACCTTCACTGGCCACGAGTCGGACATCAACGCCATCTGTGTAAGTGCTGATGCGGTTGCTCATCCAGGGTTAAGGTCAAGAGGCTCAGGCCAGGTCTCCTTCTCCTCGGCAAACAGCCAGTGTACAAACGGCCAAATAATTTCCTCCCTGCCGTGCCACAGCCCTGCCATTGAGTTCCATTATTTCTTTCTGAGCACTCAACCCATTGTCTTGGCTTGCTTTCTCTTACCAGTTCTTTCCAAATGGTAATGCATTTGCCACCGGCTCAGATGACGCCACCTGCAGGCTGTTTGACCTCCGTGCAGACCAGGAGCTCATGACGTACTCCCATGACAACATCATCTGTGGGATCACCTCTGTCTCCTTCTCCAAGAGCGGCCGCCTCCTCCTTGCTGGCTATGACGACTTCAACTGCAATGTCTGGGATGCGCTCAAGGCCGACAGGGCTGGTGAGTGGCCCGGAGCTTTCCTTGTCTCCCAGTGCCTGTGGCAATGTTTGCCAGGGAAGCCTGCCAGCAGGCACGATCACAGACCCCCCCACACGTTTGTGTGTGCTATAGGCAAGGAAGTGTATAGCAGAGTGCACAGCCCTCTGGCACCAGTGCTTGGGCCACTCACACCCAGGTGGCTCTGCATCTTTCAATGTCTGCCCTGTATCCCACTGGCATTGACTTCAAAGGGGTTTCCTGGACCTGAGGAATGCTTACTTTTTAGTACCAGCCTAAGTCACAGTGGCTTTCCAGTTCCACGCCCCCTCTGACACTGAGCACCATCCCATGAGGGAATTTGGCCGGGGCTCTCTCTGACGGCACATACTGAGTATAATGGTTGGTTTTTCACTTGGTGGTTACATTACAACTTTGTCTAGGATCTATATATTGATTTTTGGTTCATTTCCTAGTAACTTATAAATAGCAAGTATATATGATTGTTAAGGAAGTGCTTTGTAAGCAAACCCCTAAATTTCACTCATGGTGTAGTCCTAAAGCCATGTGTGGAAACTTTGTGTCCAGAAGGTCCCAAAGACCAGGGTCCTACGTGTGAGCTTTGACCTACCTCATAGCTAAGCTCACTGGCTCGATGATTTCCAGGTCTGACGTTGAATTCTGCTTGTAGTCTAGTCGCTGGGCTTGCTCCTCCCTTCCATTTGCTTCTCCACTGAGTCCCTGCTGGCAGACACTGGACCCCACGCTCAGCTCTCTTACTTGTGTGACACCCACTGCCCTTCCAGCCACCCCATCCTGGAAAGTGTAGGAAGTATAGGGCACGAGATGGGTGGTTATGAGGTGGGGCTGGCCAGCCGTGATCCAGAATCTGAGTGCAGTGTGGCTGTATGGGCACATCTATCTCCCTGTCAGGGTGACCCCAAGAGAGGGGCTGTGGGTGCAGGAGTGTCTGAGTGACAGCTCAGGATGGAGCTTTTGTGTTCTTAGGTGTGTTGAAGGATCTTGAAACATGGATCACACAAGCTCAGCATCTTCATGGTAGAAGACGGTATTTAGGTCTCTGAATTGGGAGAATTTAGTCACTTGAGGCTTTGGGTGCTTCAAGGGCCTCCCTGCTTTCCAGAAAGTGTTCCTCCTGTTCGTTGAACACCCTGCCTTTGGCTCTACTTCCATCCCACCTGGAGCCTGGAGAGTATAAGCCTCCTGACCTCCTCCAGACCCTCATCTCTGAGTCAGCCCCATGTTCCTGCAGCACTTAACGAGCGGTAGAGGGTCCCTGGGACATCCCTCCTTCTGTTCCTCGAAAACCAAGGGCCAAGTTCTGACTGATACTTATCCAAGAGAAGACTGTAGGAAGTTTAACTGGTGGGCACATGGGAAGTCCGGGCTCGCCACAGCCTCCACTCTGCTCAGCTCCTCTAGTTCCAGGCATCGTTAGTAGTCACAAACTCCACACAGGCAGCCATACACTAGGGTGGAGTGTGGAGTTTTTGATAAGACCTTTTTTTTTTTTTTAATTTGGGTTTCCTCCATCTTCTTGAGTACTTGTAAGTCAATGCAAGAGGCATTGGGTTACTGAGAGAGAGAGAGAGAGAGAGAAAGAGAGAGAGTGTGTGTGTGTGTGTGTGTGTACACGCACGCACTTGAGCGCGCCTTTGCTTTCCTTACCGCCCTCCCGTCTGAGTGTCTGAGTGCACATCCATTACCAGGCCCTTCAGTACACCTTTGCTTTATTTGAGTATGTCCCTGTAACTAGGTGCATTCGAGTTGTTTTTTAAGTCAAGGGGTATGTTAGTCCACCTTGAACATGAGAGACAACTTCCAAGCTCCAGCTTGGTTTCCTCCTGGAAAACATTTCTCTCCCCTCTTAGTGTCCTTTCCCTAAGGATTGGGGCATTGTGAGACCTGACCACCAGGCACTGGACGCTCAGTCGTCACAGCAGCCCTTAGAGGGCAACCTCTCTGGGCCTTCGGCGTGACTGTGCTGTGGCTTTCTTATCAGGTGTCCTGGCTGGGCATGACAACCGTGTCAGCTGCCTGGGGGTGACTGATGATGGCATGGCCGTGGCGACGGGGTCCTGGGACAGCTTCCTCAAGATCTGGAACTAACGCCGACAGGTAGGGAGCTGCTGAGAGTGTGTGTACTTGCTCACCCCCCAGGTACTCGCCACAGACGATGGCAAATGTCCCAGGTTAGTTGGCTGGTTTTGATACAAAGGGGATTAGTCGTTAAAGCCTGCAGATGTACCCCAGCTTTTTTCCACCACTGAGCAAAAGTGCCACCCCCAGTGGCAGCAACCACCATCATAGCGTCTGTTTAGAGCGGGTGCTTCTTTTTAACCGCGATTGAAACTCTTCTCGATGGCAGGTGGGCTCCACGGTGACTGGAAGACCATTCCAACCCTGACGAGTGACAGTGATAGCATATCCGCCCAACCGTACTAACCTGGACCCCGACACCCCTCAGAACTTCCAAAGGGCAAGACCTTCTTTCCTTCACTGATTGCTGGAACAAAGAGCACAATTCCCACGAAGAGAAGACTCTGGCTGTCAACTGAAACAAATTGTGCATTCCTCTCGGGACCATTGTCTTTGTTTTCTTCTCTTGTCTTGAATGAATTTTAAAAGGAAATACTATAATAAAAATGTTAACCAGAAGGTAAACTTGAGTGTAATTGTGAACCAGACAACAACTCTCACTAGTTTATTTGAACTTTAGACCAGTGACCCTGTTTTGTGATGTTCATGCAGAACAAGTTGAGGACTCTGTTTTATCTTGTAATAGTTTCTAAACTTCAAGTCTGTTAGCAGGATTTTGAAAACATTCATATTTCCTTTTTAAAGTATCTTCCTTTATGTTCAGTAGTCAACCGGAACAGGGGAGTCTCTCGTAGCCCCCCTGAGATGGTCCCCGATGTAAAGTGAGTCCCTGGATTGGTTTTCTGTTCGTGTCATGGTGCCTGTCACGCGCAGACATGGCTGGGAGGTGGCAGCGGTGTGTGGCCTCGTCCGTGCCATGGGCGCTGCGAGTGTGCGACTCAGAACTGCCCAGCCCACTCCCGGCTGCTGAGACCAGGCACCCTCTCCGCCTGTAGTCTCCCTCCTTCAGCCCAGTTTTGAGCCCCCCTCAGGCTTTCTGTGGTGTTGGGGGGACGTTTCTGTGACCTGACACTACCCCACAGCCCTCCTGCCCCCACACCACCACGACCACCACCACCCACCATCAGGAGAGGCCCACCCTGCGCTTGGGTCGTCAGTCAATTGTTTGTGTATGAAACAATGTACAAATCAATGTTTTGAAAATAATGATCTCAAAGTTTCTAAGTTAAATTTTAAAAAATTTGATCGTTTGCCATATTGGGTGGGGTTTACTCTTAGAATCGCATGCTGTAGAAATGCTCCAAGTGCATATAGGACTCTGTCCTTAGGTGTTTTTTTCTTTTAAGAAGTAACCCTTCACCATTGTCGCCACGGCGGCTTGTCCCCTGTCACTGCTCTGTGCACATGTAGGCAGCACACCAAGCGGCGCTGCACCTGGTCCTTTGTCTGAGAGCGGCCTGCTCTGAACCATGGTTGCTACGACCTGAGGAGGGGCGGGAGCGGGGAGCCCTCACACCTGCCCTCCCCTGGGGAGAGCCTCAGATAGGAGGCAGGCCATTTTCATAACACGCAGCTCTCCCCGGGTTCCTTGTCCCCTCAAGTGTCCAGCAGCAGCGTTAGGCCGCAGGGTGTTGTGTTGGCTCTCCCGCCTTCCCTCTGTCCCCAGGAGCGCTCCTCCATAGCAGCAGATAGTGGCTTGTCCATTCTGTCCTCTGCGGTGCCCGCACCCACTGTGCTGTGACTGTGCGGTCGGCCTGGGTCGGCAAAAGAATCAAACGAGCCCCTCTTCCTTCTCCATAAACCACTCTGTAGAGCTCTCCGCACCTGTACCCCTTTCACCTTTTGTATTTAATTTTAAAGTCCGTGTACTGCAAGGAAGCTGGATGCAAGATAGATCCTATATTAAACTGTACTGTTATTTAAGATGTAATAAAGCAGTTTGACATGAGGGACCTGGGTGTGGCTACTTCTTTGAGGGTCCCTTGGTTCTTGAGGCACCGGGGCCCTGAGTCACGGAGTCTGCCTTCAGCGGCACCCTTCACTCCATAGCACAAAGAATCCGTGAGTTTGTCGGAACCTCGTGGCTCCCCAGCCCTCACCCCTTGCAGTTGCGGGGTGCCTTGGAAGCCCTCTGTGGCCCCTCCTCCCTCTTCCTGCTTTCCTCCCTTAGAATATCGAGGACCTTTGCTTCAGAGACACACTTCCCATAGGGTGGACCCGCCTTCACCTCAGAGAGCGGGAATCCTGCAAGGAAATCCTCTGCCGGCAAGGGGGCAGGGCTTTTAGCCAAAGGAAAAGATGTGTTCCCATCCCAGTCAGGCTGGCACTGTCCTTGCTTTCTGGCTGACGGGCTTATTTTTTAAAAAGTCTTAAATGTTCTATAAGCTTATGTTTGCTAAGCATTGTAACTCACCACTCATGCAGGAGCATTTTGCAAGGGGTGGGGGGGATGCTCATAATGAGAAGGAATTAGCAGCATTGAAGTGCACCTGGTCATCCATAAGGGCCCCAGGGAGGGGCTACATGCCTGTCACCCCCACTCCACCAAGCATGCCTGGTACATGCTGTTTCTGTGCCCCTCTAAAGGAAGCAGTGGTTGGTGGCAGTCCCCCTACACCAGTGAGTAGAGCCTGCAAGCTGAGGCTACTACACTGGGTGTGATGGACAGCTGAGCAGTGGCTTTGACAGCTGCCTTGACATAACCTGTGTTCCAGAGACACGTCATGGCTTCTTCCAGCTGCCTTTAAAAAGCGGAACAGCGTATGCAACCCGAGAATGCACTAGCTGGCTGCATTCGCCCAAGATCCCCAAGGGTAAAATGACAAGTCCCCTTAATGAAGGGAGGTAACTGACTGCCCGAGGTGGGCAGGGAAGCTGTAGGGGTTTCAGGTTGGGTGCTACATGGTTCTCACAGTGTCACCAGTAAACATGAGAGAAGCAGATGAAATTGAGCTCTGCCCCTTCAGCTTGGCCCCCTTTCACCTGTCACAGGTGCTTAGGACACCAACATCAGGTGGAGACGGAGTCCATGTAGGTGAAGCCTGGCTGCTGAGCCTGTCAGCAGCCCCTCCCCTCGGGAAAGAAGGGAGGCCCCAGTGACCTTTCAACCTCAGCCTGCTGCCCCCTGCACTCAGTGGGGCTCCAGTGCCACTTACCACTTCCCTTGCTGCTCTTTCCCTGCAAGCCTACTGCTTGACTGCTTCCAGTTCCGTGCCGCTAATTAGTCCAAGTCCAGAATGTTCCTGAGTTTCTTACTGTCCCAGCACAGCACATCCCCTCCCCTGCAAGCCTGAACCACCTACCTCCCTGTCTTCTAGGACTTCACCTCCCCTGGCCATGCACCACTAGGTGAAGGTGCACCAGGTCAGATGGAAAGGGAACACAGTGATTGGAGGGCCCTTTGACACCTGCAGGGATATGACACTTCCCACGGGAGGAGTGCCAGCCACACCTCTGATCCTGAGATCAGGGCCAGCTTAACCAGGTAGAGTAGCCTGGGCCAGGCCAGCTCTGCGGGGCACTGAGGTCACAGAGCGGGCAGCCTTCATCAGCCCTGCATTTGGGGACCTGGCTCAGGAACAGTCTTTTCATCTTGGCCTTCTCAGGGTTGGGGCTTTGGGGGGCCTGTACAGCAGAAAGAGGCCTGAGGGGACCAGGTTCTTTGCCTGAAAATAACAATGACCAGAGCCCCTTGGGCAGCCTTCCACCCAGTGAACACAGATGGCTCCCCTCTGACCCCTTGGGATGACTTGTGCCCAACCTCCGCCTTTTCATGGGGAGGCACCCTGGGGTTGTGGAGGGATGCCCTTGCCCTCTGTAGCTCCCTTCCCTCTGATTTGCAACAAAGAGGAGGGGCTTTGGTGGGTGCATCCTTCAAGTTCAAGAAGTCAGATCTATGGGGGGTGGGGTGGGGGGAGGAAGGCCCTGCTGTCCCAGGAGAGGGGGCATTGGTGGGAGGACGCATAGGATGGATGTGGGCCCCACGGCAGTGGATAAGCACAGTGGCTCCAGGTGCGTGACAGGGCAGCTGCCCTCTGCTGCCTCCCCTCTCCCAAGAGGTCAGGTTTCCAAGGGGATTCACAAAGGCTGTGAGATAAGAAGGGCCTGCCACTTAGTGGATCCCATGTGGATGAGTTTGTCCCAAGAAACATTAGGACGGGGAGCACCTGCCACCTAGCGACCTGAGGAGTCAGGGAGCGCCCCACTTCACGTCAGCTCATGGGGATGACCAGGAATGTCACCCATCCTGAGTGGATGTGCCAGCCCCCGCAACCCCCACTCCCAATGGCTAGGACCTCGTCTATGTTCAACTTACGGTTCCCACGCCCTGCAAGACTCGATGCTACCCTGGGTGAGTGGCCTCCACCCTGCCTGTCTTCTCCCTTCCAGCTGAGGATACTCAGTCAGGGACTGGAAGCCAGGAAGGGGCTGCCTCCTCAAACCAGCACAAGTAAGATTTGCTTTTGGGCAGTTTAGACACAGACCCAGGGCAGCCAGAGGCAAGTTGAGCAGGGGCCCTGGAGGCAGGGCTGGCTTGTGCTTGCAGACCTAGCTGGAGGCTAGAGGCTGGGGACGGATGAGCTGACCTGGGAGCAGCCTGTGACAGGTGCCTTCTTCCTCCAGGGAACCCTCAGATCTCAACAGGCACGGCACCCTGGCCACCCAAGCTCCTGTCCACTTCCCAGTTTGGCTTCTTGGTAACCTCATTTACCCTAGCCAGACGGAAGCCAGCTTCCTCAGGACCCTGGAACATCACCTGAAGATGCACAGTCTATACCCACTCCCCCACTCTCACCCTTGAGATGGAGGATGGGCACCCTCCATCCTCTACCTGCATGCTAGAAGCCAGTATCTCAGCATTCCTTCCTTGAGCTAGATGACCGCCTGCCCCACCACCATGTTATAGCCTAGCTCTGAACAGTAGCCTGACCAGTGTGCACCACTACTTGCCCCTCTGCTATCCTCTAGCAGTCAACCCAGGTTTGGGGGTTTCTGGTGTGTAAACAACCATTTTAAGCCAGCTCTAGGGACTTAACTGCAAAATAACGAATACCAAATTATGTTGGAAATGTACCCTCCACCCAGAGCAACTGGTCAAGCCTGTCTCCGGCAGCTGAAAGAACTCAGAGGTATGACCCCTTGGGTGCCTCCCAGATCTGGTGGCTTCCATAGCCCCAGCCCAAGCCTGCCCTAGTTCAGAAAACCTTTCCAGGTCCCCAGCGCCTCTGAGTAAGACTGCTCTTCTTTCTTCAATCCGAACATGGCTCCGTCCTAATGTCAGTGCCCCACCCCACCCTCATGTTGGTCTTTGTACCCTCCTGGAGGCTGCCACCACAGCCCGGCTCATCCTGATGCAGCTTTTGGACAATGCCCAACCAAAACCACCTCTAGGAAGCCTGGATGCCTTGTGACTGGGTCCCAGCCTTCAATAAAGGCTCTGGGTGTGCACCCTCGGCCCCAATCCCCAGCCCAGGCCCCTGAGGAAATTGCACAACGCAGGGCAGCTGACAAAGGCCACAGCCCCGCTGTTTTTGGCTCAGAAAAGAGGAAGCGCTGAGGTACAGGACAGACAAAGCCTTGCGGAATTTCCCATGAGGGTCACCCAGGAAGCACACCTGCCGTAGGACCTGCCTTCTGCAGAGATGGCTCTAAGCTTTAGGCTGTCTCTGAAGAAGGTGGTGGCTTTCCCTATTCTAGAAAGTTCTTAGGAGACTCAGAGTAAGTGCTCGTGCACCATTAAGCGATAGAACAATCACATCCGAAGAAAAATACCCTCAAAAGTTACTCCTTATGACTATTAGTGAGGCTGATGGTCACTTTGGGGAAGCTGCTGGGATGACGAAACAGCCCTCTGGGGATGTTACACCCCAAACCCAACCCACTGCCATCAGTGGATTCTGAGATAAAATCTTTATGGAAGCAGACAGCCTTATCTTTCTCCCTTGGAGCAGCCGTCAGGTTTGAACCACTGACCTTGTTAGCAGCCCAACATCTGGTCCACAGGGTCACCCTGGCTGAAAGTTACAGAACTTGAGAGATCCTCAGGTCCCACCATCCTATCCCCACTTCCAAGTGGTACTTTCTCTCCAGAAGACATCTGAGACTCATCCTTCCAGGTAGGAGTCACTGAGCACCAGCTCTGAGCCTGAACTTGTTCCAGGTCACTGATCGCAGCGCCTGGGGTCCATAAAAGCCACTGCCTGGTGCTTCCATAGCAGATACTGGGGGGGTGGGGGACCGGGACAGGGACTGAGGTGCCCTTAGAGAGGGGCTTGGGAGTACTGCACTGCTGCGCTGCCTGCTTTAGATGCCGCGTGCCAGGAAACTTGACAATAGAAAAGGAACGACTGAGAGCTGTTCCTGGTTCTGGGGTATGTGCTGGCACATGCTCTCCGATGTGCCCTGGCCCAAGACCGGCAGGGCTGGGCCATGTAAAGCCTAGTGCCCTGAAGCTGAACCAGCCATTCCACAAACCTGCACTGGTGGGGCTGAAACTCCCCCAGCAACTACACAGTAGGCACTGGTGGCTGGACTCCTCCCCTCCTATGGGTCCCAAAGCTTCAGGGAGGTACCGAGAGGGGTTGGTAGGTAACAGTCCGACGGTCCTGTATTGCCGGGCTTGAGACCCCAGGTAGGTAGCCGTGCCCCAGTCTGTACTGCCAGGCTTGAGAATTTAAGGGGGGTGGGGGTGGGGGCGGGGAACAGGAGGGAGAAGGATAGAAAGCAGCCTCTTGGCCTCAGCTGCCTCGTCTGGAAGAAAGACGTCCCCAGGGAACTCCCTGCCTGACCTCAGGGCCTAGGGAGCGTGCAACTTCCGAGGTTCCGTCGTCGCAGCTGCCTGCTTCAAGTTTTGGTTCCCCAAATACGTTCCTTCCACCCTACACCCGGTAATTATCGCATCGCCTCCGGTTGTGTCATCTCTCGCGGAGCAGCCCACCTGGCTCAGCG